TGCAGAAAAGAAGAACTTTATTCCATATATCTCACTGTTTACAAAAATTAACTCAGAATGTGTCATAAACCTAAATTTAAATCTAAATTATAAAACTTGTCGAAAAGAACAAAGGGAAATCTTTGCTACCTTGGAGTAGGCAAGAGATTTCTTATATACAACACCAAAAGCACAGTCCATAAGAAATTGATGAATTTGTTTAATTCTTCAAAATTTATTTAATTCTTCAAAATTAAGTACTTCTGCTCTTCAAGGAACACTCTTAATGCATTGAAAAGGTAAGCCACAGACAGAGAAAATATTTACCATCCATGTATACAGGTCTCAAACAGGTCTTGTATTCAAAACATACAGATCTAAAAACTATAAATAATAAAACATCTGAACTTCTAAGTAGTAAATATTTGAACAGATTTTTCATGAAAGAAGATATGTGGATGGCAAATAACTATATTACAAGATGTCAATTAAAACCACAGAGCTACAACCATGCACCTATTAAAATGGGTAAGATTTTAAAGTGTGACCTCACAAAGTGTTGGTGAGGATTTAGGGGAACTTGAACACTCCTACACTGCTGGTGGGAATATAAAATGGTACATCCACTTTGGAAAATGATTTGGCAGTTTCTTAAAGTGTTGAATATGTGCCCATAATATGATGCAGACATTTCATTCCCATGTATTTACTCATGAGGAAAGAAGGCATGTGTTCATAGAAGCTTTATTTGTAATAGTCAAAAACTGAAGCAACCCAAATATCCATAGAGGAATGGATAAACAATGTATGGGACATCCATACAATGTAATACTACTCATCATTAAAAAGGAATGAACAAGTGACACATGCAAAAACATGGATGCATCTCAAAATAGATATTGAGTGCAAGAAACCAGACCAAAAAAAAAAAAAGTATACAGATTGTATGATTTGATTTATATATGTCTCCAGAAAATGAAAACTAATTCATGGTAGCAGATCAGTAGACGCTGGCAAAAGGGGACAGAGAAGGAGCAAGAGAAAACTTTTGGGGATGATGGGTGCATTTACTATCCTGATAATGGTGATGGTTTCACATGGGAAATATGGCTAAACGTATCAACTTATACAATTTAAATAGGTGCAGTTTATTATCACTTATTAGTCAAAAAAGTTAAGTTTTTAAAGTAACTGTTGAGAAAGGAAATCTAGACTATCATGGGATCATCTTTGAGTAACCCCTGATGCTAAGAGGTGGAAAGAGGCAAGGAGCTATGCCATGGAAAGAGGGAAGGGGCTTAGTGCATGTAAGGAGAAATCCTTAATTAAATCTTCAAGAATAAGAAGATGCTGGGCATCGTAAATTGACATTTATTGTTTAGAAAACAATTCCAGTTTTAATGCT